CCCCTCCACACACCCACACATATACAGGTACACACACCAGACGGACAGGTACGTAGGGACATGCACGTCAATTCCTGCCCTTAACTTTCTCTGATCGATCGATCGGGCTGAATGAATGCAAAACAATCACACACGAACCCTCCACCCTCACAGACACACACACACACACACACACATCTGTTGATTGAACAAATCTCACCACCCCAACCATCCTCCCTCCCACGCACATGCACCAGCCAAACAGTCACCACAGCTCAAGAGTACGGAAAAAGGAGGTGAATCAATCTAAGAGGCTCGTTGGTCGTCTTCGGTGTCTCAGTAGGTCGCCTCAAAAAATGCTCGCTGATGCAATGCACCCCAACACACGCACACACACACAGATGGCACACACAACACGTCAATGCAGAAACAATCGCGAGTACGCAAGTACGCAGGAATGTAAGTAGCCACAAACATTCACAAAGGCTGCCGTGTTGTGGTGTGGTGTGGTGTGGTGTGAGGCCGTGCGTGTGGGCGGTGGGTGGTGTGTTGGTCTTGCAAAAATGGAAAAGGAGCGCAGATCCAACGGAGTACTTTCCTACCCTACCTACCTACCGGCATTGCCTACGGTTCTCTCACGGCCGTCAAAACAGATCCAGCCAATGGATGTCAACCAACGACTTGCCCTCATACCCTCACTCACAACACACAGCAGCCACACAACACAACACAACACGGGCAACACGACGAGGGCGACACACCACACCACACCACACCACACACGACACGAACGAAACACAGCACGGACCATCCATCCATCCAGGAAGCAGCAAAGCCAACGGTCGCCTGTCTGGGCAAATCTGTGACATGCTCCAAAGACAGAGCGCCCCCCCTCCCTCCCCCCTCCCGCACACACACATACACAGGTCAAATCCACTGGCCGACTGTAAGTAGTATCCCTCTCCCTCTCAAGTCATCGACTAGCCATCCCCGCCCCGCATTTCCCCCCCGACACACATCACATCACATCATCACAAGACAGGGAAGCACGTGAGTGGACAAGGGAGGTAGAACGCAAGTGCTGCTCGCCGGAACCAGTTGCCGCAACAGAGCCTCACACACGGACATATGACTCTTGATAGCACCATCCAACCCACGCCACGCCACGCCACACACATGCACTGCAAAAACAGATGATAGCATAGGAGAGAGGCAGGGAGGGAGGGAGGGAGGGAGAGAGGGAGGGAGGGAGGGAGGCGGACAGGCAGGCAGGAGACCGCTGCACACTCCGACACGTAGCGAGCCATCCATGAGCCGGCTGGAAAAGTCATCGAGTGAAAATGTCGGCATTGATACATACAGACTGAAGCTAGCCCACAGACAGACACGCCATGTGACTGTAGCAGCGTTGCAGCTGCCTGGTCGGTGAAATACTTGGGACATGCCACCGCTCCCTCCCTCCCCCCTCCCTCCTCCCTTCCATCATCCAGCCCGCAGCCAGTCAGACACGCAGCAGACGACGAGTAGCTGCGTCGCTCTCTCTCTCTCTCTCTCTCTCTCTCTCTCCCCCTTGACGGCCATGCTCCCCCCCGCGCACAATCGTGACGGTACTCTCTTGCAGAGAGTGACTATTAGGGCGTCTCACTGTCCGTTCCCCGCGTCATAGAGACCCTCTGGCACGAGTGTCAACCACCGACAGTATGTGGTAGCCGACACGCATGACACAGGAGTTCCAGAAAACGGAACAACGCAACAGTGGACATTATCCCATGTGACAAAACGGACCCATCGCCCCCGCCCCCCTCTCAACAACCTCATCTATCCGACAAGCGGCGCGTCATGGCAGAAGTGGTGCATCCCGTCTTCGTCATACACCATGTCGCCCCCCACCAGCGAAGGAGACGACAGCAGGTACGGCTGCCGCACCGCCGCAGCAGCCGGCAGCAGCCCCGTGCGTGTGGGCGAGTCGGGTGGCGACCCCGCCGGCGAGAAGAGAGGCGGAGTGGAGGGCGAGAGGATGTCGCGCTTGCCGCTTGAGTGGTGGTGCTGGTGGTCGGGTCGCTGGACGATGCGGAACTCCAGGGGCGACTGCTCCTCCACCACCAGAGAACGGTAGTCGACCGAGAGGCGCTCGCGCAGACGTTCCAGATACGTCAGCACCCGATCATCTGCACACAGGGGACAAGAGAGATGCACACGGTGATACGCCGGACACTGCGTGGTTTCTCCTCCCTCGTCTCCCTCAGGTACCGTGTTCGTCTGCCGAGCTGTCTGCGGTCTCGTCCTCGCTCGACGCCATGCCGCACCCGCCCTCCGACGAGACCGACAGTGTCGACCCGCTGGCCACTCGCTTGGGCGGCCGCACCCACATGGCGTTGGCGGACGGCCGCATGCGGATGAACACCAGACGTCCTGCGCCCCTCGATGTGTCGACGAGACACTCCACCTCACTCTCGCACACGCACATGGCCGCGTGGTCCAGGACGTGATAGACGCGCGGGGAGCTGGTGCTGGCGCCGATGAGCTGCTGCTGCTGCTGGTGGGGGGCGAGGGAAGCAAGGGTGGGACGGGGGAAGTTTTTGGGAATGGACAGACTGTTCAGGCGCTTGTAGTTGGTCGTCGTGGACGGGGCCATGATGGTGCGCAGCTGAGCGACATCACACACATCAATGCACCTGAGGTGAGGTGACGGTTTCTGAGTGTACACGCACCTTTGCTCTGATATTCGGCGGATGCAGAAAGCTGTCGTTGATAGCTACGACGTCTGCCCCGCACTCAATGGAGGCGCGGTAGATGCTCTGGCCCAAGCGGCCGAACCCGTTGATGGCCACCTTGACCTTCCCGAGTCGGCAGGCACTGAACTCGCTTTCACCAGAGCTCATAGTGGTCGTGCTTCACCTCCAACACGATAAGCTTGCCCACTCACTCAGTCGTCAACGTCCATCTCACCTCTCGCCGGTTTGATCCTTCGTGAATAGTAGCCGGTTCCTCTTCCGTGGAAAGAGCGAGAGGTAAGAGACTTGCCAGATCCTGCTCACAACGATTAAGAGGCAACAGAGGCCTACAACAGGGATGGTAGGAAGAGCGGCAGGGGTGGCAAAAGGCCGCACAACTAGGGGTGCAGCGAGCGGCAGGGGAGCGGTTCCCCGAGGGATCGGATTCAAGCTCGCAAATCTCGAGCAAGAAAAAAAACTCAAGCAAAGAACGACTGAAGCTGACCAGCGAAGTACGTGAGCAGCCACCCATACACTCACACAAAACTCAGAATGTATTTCGGTGTTTCCTGTTAGTTTCAGACGTTGTGTTGACTGTTGACGATAATGGCGTTGGTGCACCCACCTCAGGAGGCACTGAGGTACAAATGAGGCGTCCAAGCATGCCCCCATGGCATGCACATCTCTTTTTCTGTTCCCCATTCGCTTTGTGGATGCAGATGCCCTGCCGACATCTTCCAGGGAGGACCCGGAGGAGGGCTGGGGCTGGGGACCCGGGGAGGGACGGCATCGGGCGGGGAGGGACGGGGAGGGCCGTCTGGGGAGGGCCGAAGAGGGTAAGTCGAACAGTGAGTATGAGGGATGGATGCCAGGGGACATCCATGCCGTGTCTCTCTCTCTCTCTCTCTCTCTCTTTCTCTCCTTCTCTCTCGTGTGTGTGTGTGCAGCAGTAGCGATTCGACGAGCAGCCGGCGTGGGTCTGTGGAGGAGCAGCCCGCCACCCCAGGCAGCCCCCGGCGCGAGACTCTGGGGGTGACGCTGGTGCCGGGGCGGAACAACACCCCGATGCTGGCGCCGCCCGACCACGCGGCCCTGGATTTCATTGGGGGCTGCGTCAAGAAGTTCATCGAGGACAAGGGAGACCCGCCTAGCCCGACACATGTGGTCCAAGTGGGGGAGTGTGCAGAGAAGGAGGTACACACACACTCTCATGGCTGGCTGGCTGGCTGGCTGGGACTGACTGGTCTGGTGGTGCCCTGCCATGACCTGTGTATACAGGTTGAGCGACGCCGCTCAGAGGCGACTGAGGCGGCTGAGGCGGCTGCAGCGGCCGCCGCTGCTGCAAAGGAGGCAGAAGAGAAGGCCAACAAGAAGTGTGAGCCGTTTTGTGGGCTGTTTCGCGGCTGGAACTACTGGTGGTGGACCCTTTGCTGTGAACCCGAGGTCGAGACAGAAGCCACCGAGTTTCGGGTCTGATGACCTCGTCTGTGTCGGGGGCAGGGGGCGGGGCTCGTGAGGGATGCATGGAGGGAGGGAGGGAGGGAGGGAGGGCGAAGACCGGTGTCTTTTTCTGGAGGGGAAGGCCAGTGAGTGATCCATCTGCATGGACTAGTTCGCTCCTTATATCATATCTGGTGTCTGAGTCAGTCAGTCATCAGTCAGTCAGTCAGTCACGCGCTCACTAGGCATATCACGTGTGTGGTGCTGAATTTTTGGTTGTGTGACGATACAGAGACGCTGTAAGTCTTGAATGAATGGGTGTTTCAAGTACAATGGATAAAGATAAGATATGAAATGTAGACAGCGATTGATTCGAAACATCGTAACACCAAGCGAGGCGGCACCCTCTCTCCCTCATCTAACCGACAACTTCCTTGTCATGGCAAAAGTGACGCACACCATCGGACGCACACCACAAAACAAAAGTCATCGGTTCGCCTTATGGTTGACAACAGGTCATGTAACTCCCTCTCCCTCCCTCTCTCATCCCTCCGGCAGCAGTCAGCCATGGCCCCACGAAAGAGAGAACCTAGTCCTTGCACCAGTAAATGGAAGAGACAGAGACATGGGTGAGTCAAATGTCATTGATCGTCTTGACTTGTTTTGTGATGTGACGTCGTACAGCCGTGTCTCGGCCTCCCATGTCCGCGTCTCATCCATGCTGGGATCTGCACACGCACACACAGCGAGGGAGGGAGAGACAGATTGAACAAATGAGAGCGGGAGGAAGCACAAGTCGGCATGTGTGTATGAGACACATGCACGCACTTCTGTTTGCTGAGGGTGTGTGTCGATTTCTTTCCTCGCGGGCCTTCCGCCGGCTGCCGCTCCTTTCTCTCACTGCATCAATCAGTCCATGCAGGCAAAGTCCGCACACATACATACAGACATTCAAGTCTTTTGTTCCTGTGCCAATCAATGCATATGGATGTCCAGTTTTACTTTTCCTGTCGCTCTCTCTTGTCGGCCTTGAGCTGCTCATTGCATCTCGTCTGGGCCTGCTCGACCTCCTCCGTGAGCTTTCCGATGGGCTCCGTCATCTGCATGTTCAGTGGAAGACACGAAAAGGACTTGCCAGGTGATGGTGGCGGCATTATCTTCTCGAGGCTCGTCACCTTGATGTAAGGGAAAAATACCGCTTTGAGGCCCTCGTAAGGCATCACGCCGTTCGGGACGGGCGGAGGCAATGAATTCTCGCAGCGGTTTGACGACACAACGTTCGCCTTGACAAGTGGCCGGAACATTCTGGCCTGATCAATCACAGTCTCTAAACGCGCCCCCATCGAAGGAAGACGCCCCCAAGCCGTGCCCCGCATCGCTTCAATCACGACGATTTCGAAGAGGCAGGGAGCTCTTGTCATGACCACCAAGATGGAGCCACTCGATGCCTCCCCTTGCAATGCCCAAACCGCCTTCATCATCGACAAGAGCTCCCTCTCAGCTGCCGCGGGTCACAGCTCCGGCCCTCGCGCCTTTTTCAAGGCTACTGGCGGCTGGGGAAACAACCGCAAGAGCACCACTGCAAGCGGCAGCGGCCCCTGCCATCTGTCCGTCCTCGTGACGTCCCACGCGCCTCCCGGCACGAACCACTCAACGGCCAACGCCAGCGGCGCCGCAACGCCGAGCGACGAGAAAGACGGCCTGCCGCTGCGCAGGACGAACCTCTCGACGTACTCGCCCGTTCTCTCCCAGCCGCCCCGCTCGCCCGCTGCAGGGACAATCACGAGCACGTCCTTCCAGGGGGACGTCTATGTGGCCTCGCAAATGCTGAGCCGCATGGAGCGGCTGGCGGGCGCACACAGAGTGCCGCAGCGAGTGCGGGGCGGGTATCAAGAGACCATTGTCGTGATGGCCCTGCCAAGGGATGTGCCGCACGTGATTGGACAGCTGGTGCCGACACGCAGTGGCGGGGATGCCGGCGAGGGATTGCTTGGCAGGTGGCTGCGCGAGTTGTGTGAGATAGAGGATGGGCCTGAGGGACTAGTACAATGCAGTGCGATGGCACTCGTCAAGGAGACGGGAGTTGTCGATCTTCTCTCTCAATATAGGGTCCGCATGAAGAGAAACTGTGGAATCAAGTCGTTGTTCTGATGTCTTTGGTCAGGAATGCATGGAAGAGCTCTCTATGGTCAAGGGGAGACGCCTGGCCCTCAAGAAGGCAACCATCCTGAACAAGAAAGACGCCGAGGCCCTCACCGCCACCCTCAGCCACTCTGTGTCTCCTCTCCACGACCAGCCTCCCCCCCTGCCCCCGTCCCCCTTCCCGCCCAGCCCCTCGTGTCTGTCCATCCCCAGTCCCCGCACAGCCAGCGAGAGCGCCAGCCAGTGCACCACACTCAGTCCATCTCGCCTCCACTGCGCACATTTCATCTTTCGGCTCTCGTTCCTGTCAGTGAGGCCCAACAGCAGGGGCGTCAAGGGCCAGCTGACGGTGTGTGTGGTCATGTTAGCTGCGGATGAGGTGGAGGGAGGGGGTGGGTGGGGCGCCACGAGAGACCAGCAGAAGTTCCTGCGAGACTCGATCAGCAACTTGTACCAGATGCTCATGCAGCTGAGGTCGTCCACTGACGCGGGTAAGTCATTGAATGCGGCTGGAGTTTGGTTGTCGCACGCATATCAGAGATAGTGGGCTTCTTCGTATATGCAGGTCCGGACGAGAGTTTCAGGCGCCGCAGCAGCCTCACGTCTCTCCTATTCGATGCACTGCAAAAGTGAGGCGCAACAAATCTCCGCAAAGCCTGTTTTGTGGCCCGCATTGGAAGCGTGCATTTCCTTCCTTTCCCCTCCAAATCCATCAGGGACTGCCATCTGCACCTGTGTGTGCACCTGCCTTCCTCCATCCCAGCCCCGCTGTACACACAAACGCTCAAGCCAGCCATCCGTCTGGTCTCCTCATGCCAGAACGTGAGAGTGCAGCCAATGCCGCGGCCCGCCATCGTCGACCTTTCCTTCAACGGCCACGGCCATGGGCGTGTCGGCAACACTCTTGAAGAGGAGAACCGGCGGCGCGATGAGATGGAGTTCATGAAGGTGACATTCCAGGCTATGATGAAGGTCAGACAAGAGACATATACATGACAAGGAGGTATTGTCAGTGTCGGGTGTGGTGGTCTGCAGATGAGCAATGGCCAGCGGGAGGCCTTAATGTCCTGCAAGCGATGCGTGGTAGACGTCCTCAAGTGTGTCGGGGAGGATGGAGGCGTGACGAGCGTTGAAGAGGTGGGAGATGTGAGAGGCAAAGTGGCGAGAGCGCTTGAGCGAATCGGCGAGTGGCGAAAGAGGGCCATGCGCGTTGAAGAAGTCAGCATGCAGAGCGAGGAGCTGATGCAGCGCCTCGCGGCTGCCCATGGAAGAGGAGATCGACTAGAGGAGAAGAACCAAGGGCTGTTAGAGGTAGCGTCATCGCACCCACCAGGTGCACCGACCATTGTGTGTCCGACGTCAGGTGTTGTCAGCCCGAGACACAGAGGTATCTGAGCTCAAGGGCAAGGTGGAAAAGTACGAGTCGCTGCTGCACGAAGTCAGCCAGGAGACCTCTGCCGCGAGACAGCAGGTGGGCTTCCGCCGGTGCTTCTCACCAGATGTCTGCTTTGCCTCCCCCGCTTCTCCTTGTGTGCAGATCGGTGACCTGACGTCTCAGTTGGAGGAGGCTGAGGGCCAGTTGACGTCTTTCCAGGCCATCACACACAAGCTGGAGGCCGCCAAGGTACGAGCTGATGAACAGAAGGCGGCCGACCGACACCTACTGGCCCAGAGAGAGAAGCAACTGAAGGCGGTATGGATTGATCAATCGCGATCTCCATTGATCTCCTCTCCATCGCGCATACTTCCATGGATGCAGCTGGAGGGTGACCTGAACCGCGCATTGGAAGAGTTGGAGGAGTCGCGCACCGCGGCCGCCTTCTGGGAGATGCAGCTCGTGTCGCAGTATCCCCCAAACACCCTGCCATACGGTGCTCCCTCACTCGCCAGCCACCACCGTCACACGACCAGCTCCTCAGGCACGTCTCTTCGAGCAGCCAGGAACACCAAGAAGCCCAGCACACAGCTGCAAGCCAAAGCTCCTCAGCCGTCTTCGACGAAAAAACCTCCCCGCCAGCCTCAGCCTCCCCAGCAACCGCCTGCCTTCAGCGCCTTCCGAGATCACGGGACGCCATCGAGCAACGCATCGAGCTCGATCCATCTGTTGGAGAGCATCGACTGCGATTCGCCACCATCGTCCGCACACACATGCCTTTTGACTACTGCAGGGATCGGTGATCCCTTGTCTCTATCTGTGTGTCATCAGATTTCGCTTGCCGCCGCAGAGGGATGACAGGAGTGGAGAGAGGGAGGGTGGCGGAGTGGTGGGAGGGCTGGATCCCTTGCGCCCGTGGCAGCACAACACCAGGGGCAGGGGGGAGGCCGGGAAGAAGTCGTGGATGCAGAGAAAGTGAAAGGGCACCTGTGTCTTTGTAACCAGACGGCGACGATTGCCCCGTTGTGTTTTGTGTGTGTCTCAGCTCTCCTTCGTCCTTGAAGCCGATTCCTGAGCCGCTGAGGCGCAGTGGAGGTCTGTCGCCGAACCTTGCCTCGCCCTCTCCTGACGGCATGCACGCGGATGAGGTGGTGCTGATGGATGACCTGCTGCCTTCGTCGTCTACCATGATATCCGTCACACCGCCACCAAGACGACAGAGTGAGTGTGGGGAGGGAAGGGGGGAATGTGGATGCGTGGGTGGGTTTATGTGTGCTAAATGTTGTCCAGGCCAAACTCTGTCTGGCTCAGCGAGCCGCCCTCTATTGCCGCCTCAGCGCAGCACCCCGCCGCATGAGAGACTGACCAACGTCACCAACACACCTAATCTAAGGCGAGCAGATGCACACACACAGAGACACGTACACACGTGGAGATCAGCTTGTGCACTGGGAATCCCCCTTTGTGTGTGCAGGCAGGAGTCCTCGCCCTTCCAGCCAAGTCCTCTCAACCCCTTCGTTGGCCGCTTGACGAAGGAGGGCGTCAATGAGGAGGGTGCGGAGAACTTGAAGGGCCTCATAGGTGCGGCGCTGCAATCAGTGATGACGGATGAGGAGGAAACGACGACTGAGGAGCACGGGCCTGCGGAGCAGCCAGCCATCATGGCCGACTGACTAATCGAGTCACTGCGTGTGTGAGGTCGGTTTGTGAGGGTAGGGAGGTGTACAATGAATGAATGGACGCATTCCCACACATGTCAGTACAAGTCACGTCAACGAGTATGTTGAAGGTCATCGATTGCAATCCTCACACACACGTCACGAGAGAGATGCGTCAACATGGATGAATCCGATCATCGACGTGTCTTGAGCTCCTCTCACCCACACACCACACCACACCTACACGTGCCCTGAGTGTGTCCCACCTGCCTGTGTGTGTTTCCATCTGTCTGTGCCTGCGTCTGTCTGTCAGTCAGTCTCTTCTCCCTCACATGATGGCAAAAGGCGAGACAGCACATCCACACAGCCACAGAGAGAGAGAGAGAGAGGCGGGGTCTGTCTGTCTGTCTTGTCTTCTCACGCACACACACATGCACACTGGACCGATCGTCGGATGGACGGGATGCGATTGATGCGACACCGATGGACGGGCGGATAACAGAATCTCACCTGCACACCCAACACACAGACAGCGATGGATGGATGGGATGTGTCTGCCCTCCCTCTCTGCTGACGTACTCATTCGTATTGTCTGTGTCTTGTTTGTGTGTGGTCTTATTGGGGAGGGTGCCAGCTGCGGAGAGAGTAGGGGTCGCTGAGACGGATCGCCAGACGCATGTCAGACACCATGAGCGTGACACGTCTGCACACTCATGGCCAACGGACGGACAGATGGACAGATGGTGAGTTGCAATGTGTTGTGTGTGTCGGTCAGATGGACAGCTCCTCACTTGCGTGGATGGTGCACTGCATGGCGTCCTCAAACAGCCGCACAGCGAAGGCCTCGGTCGCCTCCTGCATGGCCAGCATCGCACTCGCTTGCCAGCGGAGGCCGCCCGGGGTGCCCACCTGCTCCTGATCAGAGAGAGAGAGAGAGAGAGAAAGAAGGGGCGTGGGTGTGTGTCGAGTGTGTGTGTCTACCTGGCAGATTTCTTTGACGAGGCGGCGGAAGGGCAACTTGCGAAGCAACAGGTCAGTCGACTGCATCAAGGCATCACATCACATCGGCACACACACAAACATGAGCAAGACAGAGGTGAGGGAGAGGCAGCCACTGCCTGTGTCAGTGAGAGAGTCAGTGAGTGCCTCACCTTCTGGTACTTGCGGATCTCACGGAGCGCCACTGTGCCGGGGCGGTAACGATACCGACCTGCAACCGACAAACACACACAATCAGTCAGATCAACACATCCATCCATCCAATCATTGCAATGGAATGCACCCCGTCCGTCCGTCGACGTCCAGCCGCTCCCTTCACCCCCTCATGCACCTGTTATGGTCATCTTTGGGTGTCGCTTCTTGTCGCTGGCGGCGCTGTCCGTTTCCTTCTTGACGACCTTGACGTCCTTCCGCATTGCCTGTGCCTTGGTGCGTCCCATGGGGCTGACGGCCGGCGAGTCTGAGCGAGGGTCAGGGGTGTCAGAGGGCCGGCACTCGAAAAGGTCGGAAAGACAATCAACCGACCAAACACACGAGCGGATGGACCGATCGGATGGATGAACCGACAGAGATTAGGCGAAAATTTATGGAAGAGAACGGCAGGGGGAAATTTGGCGAGCTTTTCGGCCTTCCTGGCCACCAATTTACTTTACAACTCCGTGCTCTTTGTCTTTTTTTGGTTTTCCCTCTAAGGCAGCCTGGCAGAATGGATCTCTTCCTCTTTTTCGGCTTTGCGCTCGTCGCCTCCCTTTCGTCAGCGAATGGGTCCCGCACCAGCACCAAAGTCAGGCTGTCCGATGCGATGGCGCTCAAGGCCCGGGGGGAGATGATGGACCTTACGGAGGCCGTCGAGCACGTATCTCAACACCATCCTATGGGCCTGCCAGCAGAGGTGCTGGAGCTGCTGCAAAAGCTGCAGGCGAGTGCGAATGCGACCCACGTCATCGGCGGGAAGGTAGATCCGCTCCCTGCGCCGCCCGTGTGGACCAAGGACAGCAAATATGCAGGTGGGTGGATCGGTAGATGACAGATCTGCCAGAATGGACGGAATCCTGGTGCATTGTTCACTCCTGTGTGTGTGTGTGTGTGTGTGTGTGTGGATGTCAGGTTTTCTGAAAGCCGTCAACACGCTCAACACAATGCTCGTGTACGGCGGCAAGACACCACAGATCTCCGGGGCAGTGCGTATCTTTCTTTGTGTCTGTGCAGTGAGACCCAGAAGGAGATAGATCTGACGGTGCTGGAGCTGGCGCAGGCCGAGGAGACCATGGGGATGGCCATCGACACACTCAAGCTCGAGATCGCCGACCTTGACGAGGAGATCGGCACCTTGATGAGTGAAATCATCCACTACACCAACGTCATCCAAACCAAAGAGAACGACATGAACACACTCACCGAAGGCAGGAACGGATACGAGCAGCAGTGCAAGACCGACCACGCCGCCAAGGAAGCCATTCTCGCCACTCTCAAGGTACCTTCCCACCAACACCCACTGCCCTTCCCTACACACAAATTGATGTGTGTGTCTCCTCCCCTTTGTGTGTGTATTCTGTCTGTGTGTCAGGTTGATCTCGAAACAGCCCAAAAGGTGGTTAACATGTCGTCATGTGGCGGCGCCAAGCAGGCAGCGGGGCTCGTGCAGGTCGCCGACATCACCAGCGTCAGATACGAGCGCGAAGAGGACCGCAGGGCCGGCACCAACGAGTCCCAGATCTTCCTCGAGTGCCTCCTCCAGTCAGGCGAGAAGTACATCCGTCTTGGCGGCCCGGCCGGGTCGACCATCAAGCAGCTCCCCGCTCACCGGCAGCAGCACGTGCACGCCTCCCTCACCCATGCCCACGCACACCAGGACCGCCGTTCTCGCATCCTCACCAGGGCACGTTCCTTCCTGCAGCTGGCCGAATACCGACGACATGGCGCGAGCAGCTCTCCTTTCCTGGACGACACCGAGCGGGAGTTCGCTTCGCTTGAGGATGCTGCGGTCGAGAAGGCGGAGGGGATGCACATAGAGGCGCTGTACCAGTACATGGGCAGGCGCGCTGGAGGTATCGGTGCCATAGACTTCGGCGGGTTTGGTGATGACATGGACATGGACATGGGCAACACGGTGGTGTTGCAGCAGCTGAGGGCGCAGCTGGGAGGAAAGAGAGGGAGGCGGAACGTTCCCAGCCCCAACACCACACCGGCCGGCCTCCCGCCCAGCCAGGAGGTGAGTGAGAGCATGAGTCGGTGAGAGACATTCATTCTGTCGGTCTGTCTGTCTGTCTGTGTGACGTGTGCAGGTGCCTGATGACAAGTGCACCATCAGTGCCAGCCCCATGTGTGAGGTCTTTGTCGATTCCATGAGCACCCTTGTGGGCGAGGTCCAAGACGACATGTATGTAGCAGGCAACCATTACCACACCCACCACACCAGACCAGACCATACACACCGATCCCATCCCCTCCCTGCTGTGTCCATGTGGGTATTGCAACTCTGTTGTCAGTACTGAGGTGGAGGATCTGATAGCGGCCAACACAGCCCGGTGCACCCAGGTGATCGCCGACTACAACAGTGACCTCGAGCAGACAAGGCTGGAGCTGGAGCAGGCCTCGGCTCAACTCGCAGAAAAGACCGCTGACAAACAAAGAGCCGGTAGGTCACACCACACAACACCGCGCCCACCCATCCCCCGCAACACAAAAATGCCACATGCCCGTGTATGGGTGGTGTGGTATGTATGGTGAATCTGGTCATGCAGAGTCCCAGAAGGAGTTGAAGGAGCGCACGTTGGCTGAGACGGAGCAGCAGCTGCATCAGAAGAGGGAGGAGTCCAAGGCGACCATCGACCAGGGCGAGACCACCATCTGCGGCATCGGCAAGATCCGCCTCGAGCTCATGAAGATGTCTTCCTTCACTGACTACATCCAGGACTGCACGGTCAGCGGATGCCGGAATGGCAGGCGCCTTGCCTTGCATCCGTTGATTGAGGGGAGGTGTGTTGCGCGGGCTGGTGTGGTGTGTAGGTGAGCGAGTGGGTGCCTGGCGAGTGCAGCCACTCGTGCGGCACCGAGGGCACCATGGAACACACCAGGACCATCGTCGACGAGCCTGTACTCGGTAAGTGGGAAGATAGAGGCACGACATGTGTGTTGGTTGCGGATGGATGGATGTATTGATGGCTCAGGCGCGCCCTGCCCAGCGCTGAAGACCATCTTGCCCTGCAACCGACACCCATGCCCCATCGACTGCAAAGTATATATGCACATTACATACGCTGCGCAGAGACCCAATGCATTGTAATGCATTCATGGGTGTCTGTCTGTCTGTCTGCCTGTCTGTCTCCGTGTCTCTCTTTCCATCCATCCATCCATCCATCAAATCAATCAGATGGGTGACTGGAGCGAGTGGAGCACCTGCCCCGTCACATGCGACCAGGGAGTGCAGGTAAGGTACACCACATCACATCACACATACGTGGCGTGGAGGGGCGGGGGCATGTGGTCATGTGTGTGTCTGTTTGGGATGCATGCACTGCAGTATCGCTACCGCGATGTGTTGATCCAGCCGCAGCATGGCGGGGAGGAGTGCCCTTCCACAAACCAGGACACCAAACCTTGCCAAAGGCCACCATGCAACAAAGGTCCGTCTCTCCCTCACCGCGCCCCTTCTCCCCCAACACACATTCTCCCATCGGTGTACATATGCAGATTGTGTGTTGGGTGAGTGGACCGATTGGTCCCCGTGCTGCCGTGCCTGCAACGGGGGTGTGCAGATCCGCACCAAGCCGGTCATTGAGAACAGCCGGGGGGCGGGCATCTGCTGGGGCACATACGACAAGGAGCGCTTCGAGACCAAGCCGTGCAACGAGGGGCCATGCCCTGACTCCATCATCTGCTCATCCAAGAAAGACATCATATTTGCCATTGTGCGTGGGCCAGCAGACATAAATACATCCCACACACAAAGAGAGAGAGTGACCTCGTGCTGTGTGTTGTGTGTTGTGTGCTGCAGGACAATTCGGGCAGCATGCGCGCTCGCGGCTTCAATGCGGCCAAGAACTGGACGGTGGAGTTCATCGAGAGAACAGACTTCGGGCTAGACAAGGCGCAAATCGGTGCGCACGCAGACACCAGCACAAACACGAGGCCTGCAGGGTACACAACACACCCCAATATCTTTCTGGTGGGTGCAGGACTGATCAAGTTCGATCACTCGTCGAAGCTCGTGGCGGACCTGTCGCCAGTCAAGAAGACCGTCCTCGACGCGGCCAAAGGCATGAAATTTACCGGCGGAGGAACACGCACCTCACGCGCCATCAACATGGTACTCTCTTCCCCGAACCAATCCACATTACCGTCATGTGTGTGTTTGTGTGTGTCCTTTCACCCCTGTAGGCCACGAACATGGCTCGCCGCGGCCGTGCCGACGCGGAGACCATCCTTTTCATCCTTACTGACGGCCGTGTTTGGAGGTTAGTGTCCCGAGTGAACATACCGAGCGCACACACACATGTCTCCCCTCCCTATCCCTTGCCTGCACTCGCGATTCTACCAGCCGATGGCAGACCTACAACGCCGCACACGCCTTCCGCAAGTCCAACAGCGGCCCCAAGGGGCGCATCTTCGTGCTGGGCATCGGCAACAGACTCGACATGAAGGCTTGCCGTTCGTGGGCGTCCAAGCCGGCAGACCTGCACGCCTTCCAGCTGAGAAAGGGCTTCGACGAGCTGCTGAAGAACCTGGTGGCCATGATTGCTGCTGTGTGCCCGCAGCTGAGAGTGCCTTAGAAAGGGAGAGGGGGGGAGAGAAGGGGAGAGGAGAGGTGAGGGGGTGGGTAGCGTGTGTGGATATAGTGTCTGGTGACTCGGTAATGCATCTGCATCTTCGTGCTCCGTCCGTGTGGAAGGAATGGTATCGCAGTCTGTCACTCTCAATGGAATGGAGACAGCCTTGCCAGCATGTCGTCAGCACGGCCGGACTTGAAAACAGTACATCAAATCGAGTGTACTGACATGTCCTGAGGCCTCGTATATAAACGGCACATATATTACATCACGCACATGACTGACGGACGGGAGGGAAGGCCACGTCATTTGTCCACCTTCACTGAATGCGTCAGAAAGCCAGCCCTGCACCAGCCCGTACAAGTTAGATGAGTCGCTCGAAATTCGCCTCCCCACTCATCACAGACGTACGTGTACATATGAGGCATCAATTAGTTTAGTGATGAGACACCGGAACCATACACACACTCACACCAGATAAAGCATCGCACTGGCACGATAATCGAGCCAACGCAGTGGCACACGCACGAGAAAAAGATCGTGGTCTTGCGTTGTGTGCGGTTGGATGGCTGGGATGGCGGGATCCGATCGCAGCCCACACACAAAACACAAGGCACAAACACACATACCTGCCACACGTCAGAGGCAAAACCAAACCCTACAATCCGTTCCGTCCATTGCGCGTGCGAGGCGGTGCCGTCGAAAAAAGGAAGGCCGCCGTGACGGGCGCACACAAATGAACACACACACGAATGGTACATCAACGAGACAGAATACACAGACAGCTAGTGCGAAGTCATCGCGTCTATGTGTCTAGCTATCGATCCGTCCGGCACGCCTTGAGAGACTTGGACGACTTGAAGCTGTGCATGGCTCGCTTCAGGGCCGACTCGCCCCGCCGCAGACGCACCTTGGCTGCACGCGCCTTCATACACAGCGCCAGCATACCCAACGCACGGTACCTGCCACCACGCAGCCAACACACCACCAACATCATACATCGCATTTCACCGACCGTATTGTCCTTCTCACTGACCCAATGATCATGGCAACGAGTGCGGCGAAATCCCTCGGTAGGTCGGCGGCGGAGAGTCCCCAGTACTCCAGGACGTCACTGCCTGTCTCGAAGCAGAAGCGGCTGCCCTGGCCAGATGGCTCGCACACCAACCGCTGGCCGGGCCATATCGACCCCGCCACGCCGCTGAAGCCGTACCTGAAGAAAGACAGATACTGCACACACACGCAGGCACAGAGAGAGAGGAAAGAGAGGGGGGGGGGGGCGTG